TCCTAAAAAATTTCCTCAACAAACTTCAGAAAGATTTATCAAAATCCGAATAATCGTTTAAGAGGAATATATTTACATACATCCTTACAGAAGAATTTTATATATGCAATGTGAGTATATTAAATAATTGTTATTTCCCAACATGGTTCAATTTCCAGACAACAATGCAAACAAAATATGGTGAACATCTTACATCAAAGCATCTTAAATTTAATATGTACGAATTCAAAACACGTTCAACATAATCAAATAACATTTACATTGCAATTTGTTACGATGTAACGGCAAGATAAATTGTCATTCTTCTGGTGTCTCTGGAAAGTTGGTTTATTTATCATGTGCGATATTACTACCGACATACTTTGCTCTTATTTACAATAAATAAAATATTGTATAAGAAGATTTATTTATTCATTTATTCATGAGCAAACCACAATCAATGGTAATAAATGTTATACTAAATTAATCCAGTACTGTTTTGCTAGGTTTAGAGTAGAAATTGTATCGTATTTCAGCATCAGTAGGTACTTTGTATTTACTTTTTCAATTTTGTTTTAAGAACAAAAATCTCATATTAAAATATACTTATTATAATATTATTATTATATTATATATAATAATCCACAAAGTGTTTTTTCCATACCTCCATACATCCAGAGTAGGAACTTATAAATATGGAAATTATGATTAATAATTATAATAAAGAATTCAATAATAAATACATTTTACAAGTTATCTGTCAATTAACACTGTTGGAAAATTAACAGTATTATTAAAAAATTAATTACAGTTTCACAATAATTTTATTCTGAACAATATTCATCTTGGACAAAAAGATATAGCAAACATTCGATATGCTTATAACTTTATTTACTCAGGTAATTGCTAAAAATTAGACAGACAGAAATGCATTTCAGAATTATGTATTGCTTTCACCCGAATAATAAAAACCCGAAATGAAATTGAAATATTCAAATGAATTATAAATTTATGTGACAATGAAAAGTCCTACTGACTTGTTTATCTAGTTTTACAAATTAAAAATACAAACTATAAAGCATGGCCATAGTAACTAGTTACTAACCTCAATGAAAAAACGAAGAAAAATCTATTTCAAAAATATGATAAAAAAAAATTATTTCAAATTTTGTCTAACTGAATTTTATTCAACTCGATTAATAAAAAATAATGAAGTCATGGAACAATTAATGTTCCAGATGAATCAGAAAAAAAAATAATACTCTATATTATGTACCATATATTTGACGATCCACATGCCGTGTCGAAACGTACAAAATAAGAAGTTCTAATATTTATCGTCTTTTATTTCGATAATTGGGCTGAGAAAAAAATCAAGAAAATGTTCTAACGTCGAACAAAAAAGTTTGAAGTATGCAAGAATGTATGAATTTAGTATCAATAAATTATATTCATATTCATATATGGCCGTTAATCGATCATTAAACTTTGTATGAATTTCTTATTCTCAATAAAATTTCTAAATTTAAGACTTCACAAAATATTATGAACAATGAATCTATGGATCTAAAGACCATTAAAGTATAAAACAATAATAAAATTTGTTTAACATATTTTTGTTCTACCATAATTAAAAATAAAATTTCTAAAACTAAGACTTCACAAAATAATATGAACTATAGAATTATGGATATCTAAGACAATTAAATTCTAGAAGAATATTAAAATTTGCTTAACATATTTTTGTTTTACCCTAATTAGAGTACCTTAATTTTTTATTATAAGAGCTAATCCTGCATCAATATTTAAATCTATTTCAAAAAGCTACTTTCAAAATAAAATAAAATTGCTCGTACAGCTACATAATTTTTCATGCTCTACATACAACATGAGTACTTTCAGAAATAAAGTTTTAATTGTATAATTACTACTTTTGGGTGAAAATTGATAAAACCGTAGAAACATTACTGTTTCTTCATACAAAGTACAATATAGAGATGTCTATCTATTTGGAATGTGTGTACAATTTATTTACTCTGAAGACAATGGACCGATTCTTAGTCATTGTTTAAGGATGTGATTAACATTGTAACTAAACAAACTATTTCATTGCATGCGTACATGAATTTTATACGAGAAAAACTGGCAATATCCAGGTTAATCGTGATAGTATTATTGGACGAAATTGGCATTGAACTTTACTAAAGTTTAAAGTCAACGCAGGAAGTAATTATTGAGTTTAGAGTTAACAGTTAACATTTAACTAGAAAAATAGAGCATGGTGATATAACAATACTCATTTTTATTTACTATATAACTTTAATTATTTTTTTTAGAGAATTTCAATATATACATAAAAATTATTAAAGCTGCTTTGTAGTCATAAATTTAATTTGGCGTTTCGGACAACCTGATATAAAGTAATATCCAATTGGGCTTAATAAAATTAAATATATTATCAGTATAAGATAAATTTTAATAAAAAATAAAATTTTAAAATCCATCGGCTCGACTTAAGTACACTCTATAATGATATCATAGCTATTCTCAAGGTGATCTATATGAACCCCCAAAGGGTCCATGAGAACGGGGAATCAGCGGGGTCCACGAGTGGAAAATGAAAAACATCTCAAGAGGTCCACGATACAAAAAAGTTTGGGACCTATGCTGTATGTGATAGTTTTGAGACCTACTTGGTGTCAAAACTATCACATACAATCTCTGTAATCTGAATACAGATATTAACAGAAATGATGATATTATATTATTCCACAAACACTCCACTAAGTATATAAAATTCTTAAGATTTTTTTTTCATTTTTGTACAGATCCGTTTTGACAATTTCAGTCACAAATCAGCTAGTCACATAATATACCTATTATTATTATTGATCCTCTGCCCATGTAATTTAATCCTACTCCTTCCTTTGCTTGTAGATCATTTTTGCGACTTAAATTGCTCAAATGTTTACATTTTGAATTAATAAGTTATAGTAATGAAAAACATGAAAATTTTTGCATATTTTTACGTTTCAGAGGTTTCTGAACATTTTGGCATACCTCATAATCAGAAAAAATTGATGTGTGTGTGTTTTGTGTGGCCGCATTCTTTCGTCCACGTTTTCGGGCGCATGGATTAACCGATTTGAATGGTTAAAACAACATTCGATTTTTATTGATAGGGATATGTGCTGACTAGTTTTTGGCAAAGACAGATCCAGCCGTTTCGGAGATACGGAGCAAGGAGTGTAGAAAATACAAATCGAGTTTTTGAGAGAACAGAAAATCCGATTCGAATGATCTTAAAAACATTCAATTTGTAATGTTTGGGAGTAGTGGTGATTAAATTTTGGCAGTGGCAAGTCCAGCCATTTCGGAGGTACGAAGCTAAATGGTAGTTTTTGAGAGGAATAAGCATCTGATTTGAATGATTCAAGAAACTTTCTTCTTGTGTTGATAAAACGATTATTTAAAAAAAAATATATTCCAATTTTTTTTCGGATATCGAAAACAATTCAGATTTTAATTTTAATTCTGGCTAAAGTTTTAAAGCTCATTTATATACTTTAAATAAGTGATTTAAACTTTGTAATGCAATTCATATCATTCTTATAAATATTAGACATTGTTACAGTATTTATAATAATCTATGTGTATGTAAACACTTAATATTTCTCGAACATTTTGTTACGGTACGGGAAGTTCCATCAATTTGCCTGAAGGCACGATGCCATACACCACTAGTTTGGATTTTAATTCTAATTTTAGCTAAAGTTCTAAAGCTCAGTTATATACTTCAAACAAATAATTTTAACTTTTCAATTCAGATTATATAATTCTTATAAATATTGGACAATGTCCTTAATTTTAAATTCGATTGATTAAGTTTTGTTTATTTACTTTTCTGTAAGCATATATAAGTTACAGTATTTATAATAATCTATAAGAAAACTTTTAATAATCCTCGAATATTTAGTTACGGTACGGAAAGTTCCAGCAATTTGCCTCAAGGCACGATGCCATGCACCCCACTAATTAACTTCCCGTAGGGCAAGTTATAGTAATCGCAAAAAAATCGAAAATGAATTTTTTTTATAGATCTTTACGTTTCAAAACCTGCTGAACATTTTGGCATACCTTACAAAAGTTAGAAAAAATGGAGGTGTGTGTATGTGTGCGTGC